CCCGCCCGCCCGGCCAGTCCCGGCACCCGGGAACGTCAGCACGCCGCCGTCCCCAGGCAGGCTGTGCGCCCGCCCCATTGGGCGGAAGGAGAGGGCCGGCCCTCCCCATTGGCCCGACCCTCATATTGAACAAGCCAATGGGAGCTGCGGTTTCAGGTCGCCATGGAAACCGATGCTGTTAAGTGCGAGAGGGCCAGGAGAAGGTGGGGAGTGAAGATGAAGGTGTCTGTGGCCTCCGGCGCGGGAGGGGGTGAGGAGAAGGAGTATTAGGGGATTCCCGAGCTAGGGCTCTGAAATCGGGCGGGTCTTGCTTTTGACTATTGCCAAGACTGTGCATGGTAGGGCTTGTCCCTGGCGTCAGAGGCAGAAACAACTGAGCCCCTGGACTTCTGCTTTACATTGAGAGCTCAGGAGGGGCGTTTCATTTTTCCTGCATCTGGGGAGCCCGCCAGGCTATGCCCTTTGACCTTTGACATCTGTGCAGCCCGGTGAGTTCCACTCCATTCCTTTAAACCTCGGCTTCTTCCTGACGTCACAGGGTCACTTGAATTCTTACAACCACTCCCCCTTCCCTGAGCCGGGAATTTGGTTCTTCAAGCTTATAACCCCTCCCAAGGGAAACAGTATTTCTTGTGAATGGTATTTTGGTAAGGACACTGGATGGGATTGTGCCAAAGGATCAACCCACAATAGAATGAGTTCTATGCTTCCCAAAGCAGCAAGTCACTAATCTCTCTTCTCCCCTCCCTCTCGTCCTGTGTGCTTTTTGCACTGAGCTTGGCAGGTGCACGCTCTTTCCAGCATTTCACGGGCTGGAGCAGTGCCTGAATCAGTCCTGATGATTTTGCAAAAGAAATAGATTACAAATGATGGATTTTTGCTTTCTGACTGGTTTACAGATTGTTTCTTAATCTAATAAATGATGAATTGGGACATGGACTCAGTACTCACCCAAAATCTTGACCTTTAGTAACGAGTGCTCCACTTTCACTTGAATCGTTTTTGTGCTAGTTTGCTGTACTAATTATTTTTGATGAGTGATGTTCATAATTAGATACTGCCCATTAATCTGGAACTTTTAAACATACTACTTTAAAATATATTTTTAAAAATCACCGTAGCATATAGCCACTGATATAGTCATCTTCCTTCTTTTGGTGACTTTGTTATTTTCATAATATCGTCTCTAGATAAAAAATCATGTTTATGCCACTTTTCCTCAAAATAAGGGACCATACTAATTTTTTTCATTATATTGTGTGGGAAAAGCTGGTAGGAATTTTGTGCAAACTATATGTATTAAACTTACGTTCTGAATTTTAATTAGATGGTGTGTTTTGCTGTTGGTTTTTGTCTTATAAAATATGTCCTAAGAAATGTTAATATGGCACCTTGCCTGGGGGAAAAGCCCCTTGGCACTTATTGTAAACTGGAATCTAGTTAACAGTCCTATGCAAGGTTGGATTGGGGAGTGAAATGGGGAAACTATATCATTTAAGTATTTTAGAATTAGAGTTTAGGCTGCAAGTCATAAGGTTGGTGGTATCTCATGACTTGTCATTAGAAAAATTAGCTGCTTTTGAGTTTTCCTTGGTTTTGTTATTGTTTGTTTGCTTAATGTGTGCTTCTTCATAGGAGAATAGAAAAAGGCAAAATTCGAAGGTTGATAAATAGGACATTTTAAATGTATAGTCAACATCTCAATAATTTCTCTTTAAAATTTAATTAATATAGAATGAATGGAAGATTTGTCTAATCAAGGGCAAAAGTGGGTGTCTCACTTTTTCCTTTGTAGAAAAAAAGGACCAATTTTATTTCCACTCTAATAATCATTTTCTTTCATATTTTTCTCAAAACAAATATCTAATAAGTATTTTCATATTGCTTTTATGTGTGTAATTTATATTTCATTTCCATTGTCAGTAATTAAAATATTGCAGAAACCCAGAAAGATTAATGGATGCCCCTAAATCAGCTGTCATTCAACATTATTTCTGTTCGTTATATTTAGTGGAAAAAACTTTTGCGAACTTTTATTGCTAAGCATTGCTGGTTAAAGCTAAGAAAACACTTGGTTCCACCAAAAGTTGATGTCACTCAGAACCTGCCTGGCTCCTACATTCCTTTCAGCATCGGAACTGTGATAACCTAGGACCCTCTCATCCTCCAGCGGTGCTACTAAACACTCAGCACGGCAATCTTACCAACAGGGATTTCTCTGTAGGTTAACAACTAAACACACAGCACTCTTACCAACAAGATGTTTCTCTGTCAGTTATACTTTCTCAAACTGTCTTTTTTACTTTCCCCTCCCAAGCTTCTCCCTTAGCCTCCAAAATATCTGGCCTTTTATGGAACCATTATTGCTTATCCTCCCTCTTTATCTGCTGGCCTTTCCTTTCACCAAGAAGTGGTACTAATGGGACAGCTCCACTTTTTCATCCCAGATGCTTTGTCCCTTGAAGATGGTTCTTTCTCTCCACAAAATTGCAGCTCGTTTTGCTGGCTAAGTTCTCACATGTAGCAGTTTGGATGGGAGTGACATTCATGTTTGTAAGGGCAGCACGTGGGTGCGAGAGATGGTAGGATCAGAAGTTCATCCTCATCCTTGGGTACAGAGCAAGTTTCAGGCCAGCCTTGACTATGTGAGACCCTGTCTCAAAACAAACAAACAAAAGCACAACTTTGCTTAAAACTTGGCAGTATTTCTAATCACTTGGAGGGGGACGGTCTTTCTTATATAAACAGATTTTTAAAATTTATTCACTAGAAGACTGTCATATTCAGAGTCTTATATTTGAAATATATTTAAATTGAGGCAATAAGAGCTGACATAAACATGAGGTCATGAAAGCTAATGTCAACTGACCAGTGTTACATCATCAATAAGCAATAAATCATGGCTATCCCTGACATGCTACTTAAGGGCTTAATTCTTTTTTAAAATATTTTTCTGTTTCAAACAATTTTTAAATTTAAGTAGTCTTGATTATATTCTCTCCTCCCCCCAAGTCATTCCAGATCCACTCTCCCTCTCTACCCACCCCAATGTTAATTTCTTTCTTGAAAAATCAACACAACAAAACCTTCCCCCCCAAACCAAAAAAAAAAAAAAAAAAAAAAAAACCCAAAACAAAACAAACAAGCAAAAGCCCTGCCAAACTGTAACCAAATAAAAGCATACAAAAATACTGTAGACTTTATTATATGTTGATCAACAACTCCTGGGCATGAACTCTGCCCTGGAGTGATTGATATACCCAGTGTCACTTCATTGGAGAAAACTGATTTTTCTGCTCCCAGCAGATATAAATGACAGTTCAGCTGTTATTTTTACTTTAGTGGCTAGATATTCATTCATCCTTTCTTTAAAATACAACAAAATAAAATATGATGAGATAAAACAAAAACTATCACATTGAAGTTGGGCAAGACAAACCAACAGAAGGAAAAGAGTCCAAAAGAACCAGAGACTCCCTCGTTTGAACACTCAGGAATCCCAGAAAAATCTAGTTGTCATAGTTGGAGGGCAGTTTCCTGGAAGGATGTGTGAGGACTTACCTACCTTGGGTGTAATCTGTACCATTTCTGGCACTAGGCCCTGCATCAGATGAAAAGGGGAGACAAGTGTCCCCGTGTTCTCTGCTCCTTGACTGCATGTCGTGCCAGCCATCTGGAACAGCTGCTGGAACTTCCCTGGATTGAGGCTGTAACCTGAAACTGTGATCCAGAGTAACCCCGTTTCTTCTCAGTTGCTTTGTCGGGTATTTTATAACAGCAGTAGAAAAGGAGCTGAGACACCCCAATTCCAGGCTCTCCTTGAGGAGGGACCCTTTGTCTGGCAGCCTGAGGAGCCATAGACATGCAAATGGCCTACTTGAGCGGAGGGAACTGTTCCTTAAAGGTCTAAGTCTGGCTGCTTGGTAGCCATGGTAGAAAGGAAGAGCGGAGGCTCTGCTTAGGCTGATGTGTACAAGATTTAAAATGAATGTAGAACTTGGGTTCAGAATCAGAAGTAAACAGCAGAACCCCAAGGAACTCTCCAGGACCAGAGCAGAGAGTGGACCGGAACCTCACAAAGGCCAGGAGACCGCAGTACTCTACAGTGTTTATTGTTTTCATATTTGCTCATGATAGTTAGGGGGACAATTTCCTTTTGAAATATACCATAGAAAGGAAGTAAGAGAAGATGCCTCTGTCTGATATCTCTACTGGAGGGAGAAGTGATGAAAACAGAGGCTCTGAGAATGCACCAGCACTGGTAACTCTTCTTATTGAAGAGGAATATTTAAACAAGCAGGCAGGCGGTGAGCAGAAAAGAACAGCAACGCTGGCTGAGCCTAGGGACCATGGCCAGGGCTCAAAACTAGCTCAGGTGGTTTCAGGATTAGGTTGTGGCTCACCTTCAACCACATTTCCTGAAACACGCAAATCCTTCGCCACCCTAAAGACCCAACTGGGTTTCCTGACCTTGTCCCCATCCACCAACCTCAGGCTACCTGCTGCCTGAGCGTGTCACCGTGGCGCTTGACATTTGACCCCCTGGTGTGCCCGCTTCCGTGTGCACCTTCTCCCCAAGAGGATATGTTCCCTAGTGCGTCCAAGACTATCTACCCCTCGCCTGGAGCCCCTGACGTACGCCCCGCAGTAGGAGAAGCCTGTGCTCATTAATCATTTCAGTCCTTCCAGGGAGCTGATTCCAACTATGACAAACAGGAATCAGTAATGTTGAGAGGTAATTAGAACAAGATGAAATTAAATATTCAATGTGGAAAATGAGAATCTGTGCAGGGTAGGGATTTCTCCTCTGTAGCCTTCACAGACAGCAAGGCTGTGGAAACATGAAAACATGGTTGGAAACATTCATGAAAAGAAGTGGATTTGTGTGCCTTCTTCACAACTCAGGCTGTTTATTGGGGAAAGCGATTGGAACTCAACTTTGCCAAGATGTTTAAATAAGAGTGACTTAATTCTTGCCTTCATGTGAGGCTCCAAAGTTATGCTGTCTCTCAAAAACAAGAAAAGATTGTTAGAATTTAATAATTTCACAAAATCAGAAAGCCATCAAGCATTTGGTACGTGTACCAGACATCTGTTATGTATGACTTCCTAGACCTAACTCCGCAGGCTTTTGAAGGAGTCTGCATGACTCACAATCCTTTGTTCCCTCCCAGAAACAACCTTCTGGGGACCTAATTTAATGTAGCACAGTCACTGGCTGTTTAGCAGTAACTATAACGGCGTCAGGCAGAGTCTTCCAGCAAAGCAGAACTTAGAGAGCAAGCAAGCTCCCTTGGTCCTGATGTTGCCTCAGCTGCTATTGAAGACCCCAGTTTGTTACCTCAAAATACCACTTAGGGGTGGAAGAGTTAGCTCGGTGGTTAAGAGTGTCTGCTGCTCTCACAGCGGACCTGGGTTCAGTTCCCAGCACCCATGTCTAACAGTGAAGAACAAACAGCAACTCTACCTCCAAGGGATCAGACCCCTC